TGACTGTTGGAGTAGCTTAGAGAATCTACAAAAGACTCAGGCTCAATTTCTGTCACTGTGCTTTGGAGCAGATTACTTCTGTAAATACAGGGAAGGAAAGTGGAGTAGAAGCTACTACAGTTGGCTGATACTCAACAAGTATTACAGATTCCCCTTAGGTGAATCACTGTGCAACAAATCCAAAGTCCTGGGAAAGCTGACCAAGTAGGTTTTGAGCACTTAGGACACACTTATCATTTATGGGAAAGGTAGCGGTTCTCTGTTCTTCACTTTGAGCCATTATGGAACAGGCTGAAGAAAGAAAAAAATAAACAGCATTTTTAGTAGTAAATAGGTTCCAGATAAGATGTGCAGACAGCAAATGCTAGAGCAGTGATCTGTAAGGCCACAGTCTGGTATACTGAGCCAGGAGAGGCTTTGAGTAAGCCCTAGAAGAGGGACCAGTTCCAAGCAGAAGCCAACAGGACACTTGCAGGGCAGCTGGGAGCATCCTTGGGTCAGATGGACGTGGGTCAGAAGCCTGCTCCATTGTTTCAGTGTAGCACACTGGAACTTGGGTGTATGGTTTGAGATCTTACTGCCTATTGCATATAATGGTTCCAACTACTGTCAGTACAGTTTTATTACAAACTCATAGTAAAGTTTAACAAGTCTGTGAACTTTACCATGGCTACTTTTATTTTTAACCAGGAAACCTTAATGGATAGAATTAAGAAACAGCTACATGAATGGGATGAAAATCTCAAAGAGGACTCTCTTCCTTCAAATCCAATAGGTATGAAAAGTCAACTTCTTTGCTGTGGCCTATATATTGCTGGAAGAAATTTAAGACATGGTTAAAATAATTCTGAGAAGCAGGCCATTTTGTTAATAATGAAATTTTGGGAATACTCTCATTTTAGCCAGATTTTCTACTCAAATTGCAATTAAGTCTGTCATTCAAATATAGTTCCTGAGCACAGACCTTTTTCTGTTCTTGCATTATTTACAAGTGACTATAGTTCTAGAATTTACACTTTTATATACACATAATATCATTTACATAGTGAAAATTAATTGACCTCTAACATGGGTTTGAGCCTTTGGTTTTATTTAAAGGAAGATAGTAATTGGTATGTTTTGGAGGATTTTTAATTTTAGCATCTGAAAATCCCTTTTTTTTTTTTTTTTTAAGATTTTTCTTATAGAGTAGCTGCCTGTCTTCCTATTGATGATGTATTGAGAATTCAGCTCCTTAAAATTGGTAGTGCTATCCAACGACTCCGCTGTGAATTAGACATCATGAGTAAAGTAAGTAAAGTGAATGTTGCTGATACTCATGTTTAATCAAACTAGAAAACCATTTATTGTTGGGAGCAAGAGAGCTGTCACTAGCATTAAGTTATGTAGTCATGTAATTAGAGAAACTCTTGATTGCCTGTCACAGTTTACATTAAAAACACTTCGAAGTAGATTGAGCATTCAGATTTAATCCAAAGTGCTCTGGATGTTTTTCCTTTGAGGTTTCAGACCATTTTGAATTTGGGGACTAGGTGTGATCAGCCAGTCCATGCATGTATTCCAAAATGTAGAATCCCTGTCCCAAATTTGTTAAGGGTCAGTCAGTCAAACTGACTTACAATTTCAGCTGGCATCAGAGAAACTTTTAACTATTTTGCATTTCTCAACTATGAAACCATATGATGATAATCATGGAACATTTGTGGTTATTTATTGCTTATAAAACTAAATGACCTTGTAAGGGTAACAGTCAGTACATGTTTAGCAGATCGTAGTTTCGGTGTTTTTATCCCATCCACATTTTCCAGTATTTGAAGGAATGTGGTGAAATATATCAAAAGAAGTTTCTTAGCTGGGCGCTGGTGGCTCACGCCTGTAACCCTAGATACTTAGGAGGCTGAGATCTGAGGATCATGGTTCAAATCCAGCCCAGGCACAAAAGTCTGAGACTCTGATCTCCAATAAACCACTAAAAAACTGGATGTGGCGCTGTGGCTCAAGAAGTAGAGTGCTTGCCTTGAGCTGTGCCCAGGCTCAAAGTTCAAGCCCCATGACTGACCAAAAAAAAAGTTTCTTGATGCTCATCATCCCTGCTAACCATTTCCTCTTTAACTTCTTAGTGTACCTCCCTCTGCTGTAAACAGTGTCAAGAAACAGAAATAACCACCAAAAATGAAATATTCAGGTAAAATATTTATTTATGTACCCTTATACATTTCCAATTGCTTTATCAAAAATTAGGGTCAAGTCTTAATTTCCATTCCCACATATTTCCCTCCATTGCTTGAAACTATACTTACGAAATATGCATGGAATTAACACAATTTAGGGAAAGGCCATCTTTCAGATAGTGAAGTCCCAGCAGCTGTGGCCATATAAAGAATGGCAGTGGAGAACATCACTTCTGCCAAAGCAGGGCGTGCTTCTAAACAAGTGATGAAACATGTTTGAGAAAGGCATCAGGGGCTGGGAAGGTGGCTCAGTGGTAGAGCGCTTGCCTTGCACGCATGAGGCCCTGGGTTTGATTCCTCAGCACCACATAAGCAAAAAGAAAAAAGCCGGAAGTGGCGCTGTGGCTCAAGTGGTAGAGCGCTAGCTTTGAGCTGAAGAGCTGAGGGACAGTGCCAAGGCCCAGAGTTCAGGCCCCACGACTGGACCCCCCAAAAAAAAAAGAAAAGAAAAAGGCATCAGTTGCCCAAGATGTTTTCACTAAACTTATTGTTGAATTTTAAAACTAACTTTTTCCTTTGGGGTATCATGTGCACCTACACAAAGGAATATCTGCTACCTTCCAATGATGACTCATACAAGATTCTGTTACTATAAAACTAAAAGATTAGCCAGGCATCAGTGATTCACCGCTGTAATTCTAGCTACTCAAGAGGCTGAGCTCTGAGGATCATAGTTCAAATCCAGTCAGAGCAAGACAGTCTGTGAGACTCTTTCCTTCAAGTAGCCAGCAAAAAAGGTGGAAGTAGAGCCATGGTTCAAGTCGTAGAGCATCAACCTTGAGCCAGAAAACTTAAGGGACAGTGTTTATGTGCCCTGAGCTCAAGCCTTAGTACCAACACAGAAGATTAAAATTCATCAGAAAAATCTAGTGATTGTCTTATAGTCCATGCTGTTTTTTGCTTTAGCTTATCCTTATGTGGGCCGATGGCTGCTTATGTGAATCCTCATGGATATGTGCATGAGACGCTTACCGTGTACAGAGCCGGCAACCTGAATCTCATAGGCCGGCCTACCACAGAGCACAGCTGGTTTCCTGGGTAAGAGGATGGTGATGGTGGTTTTTTTGTTGTTTTGGTTTAATGGGTAGAAAACCCCAAAGTTCTAAATAGAGTTGCTAGAATTACAATGAAAAGAAAACAGGCATGACATGAATAACTTAAACAGCCTTTATCCCATGAATAGACAAAAATGTCTTTATGAACTGTTTGCATAGTACCATTGAACTGAATATATGGAGAAAAAAGGTTAACAATTACTGTTGTCCTGAAATTACTACATAGCTAATCCGAAGTTACTCTCTTCTGTTAGCGCTAAAAATGAGCTGTTTGCAATGATGCACATAATCTATGTGTGGATCATGTTCTACAGTAGTATCAAATCGAGTTTTCCTGATAAGCTACAGAGAACACTGAATTCTTTTCCTTGTACTTATTTTACTTTACCCCAGTGGTTCTCAACGTTAAGAGTCTCAGAACTCGTTGATTTCCTGCTGTATTACCCTAATAGCTAGCCCTGCCACATTCTCTTCCACATATGGAATCAGCCTTTGCTTTGAGAGAGCCACAGTAGGAGGTGGCCAAGGCACTACAGGTGGGTCCCGTATCAACAGAGCTTCCAGTCAGCTCTTCCTAGTTAAACTGTTCTTTGAAGATAGCAAGTTGACTAAAACAAACGTGTATGTGTGCAGGTGGGTTGCTGTTCCCCAACTTGGTACTCTACAGAGCAACAAAGGGAAAATGTCTTCCCAGTGGAAGAAAAACCGAACCATAGCTTCAAATAATATAGCTTCAAATCATTAATACGGCCAATTATACATGAAAGCTGATATATTACCATAGGAATTGCAAAAGTGACCAAATACTTGTACAATGTTTCTGTGAAGTGTATGGTTTAAATCCCATGTAAGTCAGGCTAACCTCAAACTTGTAAATCCTTTGGCCTTGGTCTCAGACACTGTGGCCAGTCTTTTTAATTCTTCAAATTTGGCTCTTAAGAAATTTCCATGCAAAAGATTTCCACGGCAGGCTTGGGTACTGAGTCATGCTTCCTTAGCTGCCATCTTCCCTTCATTTTATAGGTATGCCTGGACCATTGCCCAGTGTAAGATTTGTGCAAGCCACATTGGATGGAAATTTACAGCCACTAAAAAAGACATGTCCCCTCAAAAATTTTGGGGGTTAACCCGATCTGCTCTGTTGCCCACAATCCCAGACACAGAAGATGAACTAAGCCCAGACAAAGTAATACTTTGCTTGTAAATGGATGTAATATGGTAGCGGTAAAGATATGATCTGCTTTGGAAATTGCCTTTGATGCGTACACGTAAGTAACCAGCAACATTATGTATGAAGGGTTACAGTTTCTTAGTCCACCTGTATGGAAAAGTACACTTTCAGAGAGGATGAAAGGAAGTCTAGAATACAAGAAAACTCTTTGAAACTGATGATCCTGTTTGCTGTGTGCACACACGTGCGCGCTCACACACACATTCACACAAAACACTTTAATTCATCATGCATTGGCACCAGTCATCTGAATGATCAAGTTCCAAGCTAGGGTGCCAAGCACAAGTTTCCTTTTGAATGCAGCAAGGCAGCGTGCGTTACTTTTAAAGGATTCTGTTCTTCTCAATTTTCCTTAGCTCATACTGATTTGTAAATTTTGAAAATATTAAATATGAAGTTTGAGTTAAAAATCCCCATTTCCTTTACATGTTTCTTGGTGAAAAGTTTTTACTTGTGCATTTGCACTATTTATTTGAACTATAACCCTAGCTCCTAAAATGTTTAACTTAAACTACTATGGGGCTGAAATAACACTGTATTTTGCAATCTATTTCAGTTGATGTAACTGGAAGAAAATGTGTAAGTAAACTGACCAAAACTAAATTTAATGTTCCTTATTTAAATAATGTAACCTATTCACAACTGAACAATGGAGGTATAAGAAATAACTAAGATAAAATCCATAGATTGCTACCTACCTCTTTGCTTATATATATTTGAAGGTTTACTGAATCCTTTTACAGCTGTGTAACTTTGGTCTCATATCCTTCACTGATTTACATAACTCAAAACTCATCAGGTCAAACGTCTAATCAATTTCTAATACTGAGGCCAAAAACGGACTGTTAACTTTGTGTCAGTAAATGAAAATAAACTTCATTTGCACTGCATTCAGGACTTATTCTATCCTAATTCTGCAGCAGGAACTGAGGATCAAGCTTCAAAGCCAGCCCAGTCAGACCAATATGAGACTTCTATAACCAGCAAAAAGCCAGAAATGGAGGTGTAGAGCTCACATGGTAGTGACTGCCTTGAGTTGAAAAAAACTAAGTGAGAGCAAGAGAACTTGAGTTCAAGTCCCAGAATAGGCACACGCACACATGCACACACACACTTATACTCTAAAGGGATACTACGGGGAGATCTAGGACACTGCATCTCTGCAGACAAGTCAAAACACAGGCAGTGAGGGAAAAGCATCTCTCCTTTTTGCTCCTCAGAGGTAGCATCTCAGATTCATAGTACTGCCCAGAGACATCTTATACACCACAGGCTTCTGTAACAGTTAGTTAAATCTACATCATATAGAATATCCTTGTAGTACTTAAATGTTTTCAGATATTTTATATTGCATTTAATTACTAACCTGGGTAAAGTTGTAGTATAAACCCAGTTACCTTCCAAAACCAAGGGTAATATTTTACTAAAATAATGAGACTGTACAAGTTAACTTCTCCGGGCTTCACACACATAAAGCAATCCTTATGACAAATAACAGCTCCATACCAAAACACAAATTGCTAGAACAAATCCACTATGAATAAATGGATAGGTGTTTTACACAGATTTACCAACAATTATAGGTACCAGTTCATTTTGGAATTCAGGTAGACTGAAATCTATCAATGGGCCAAGCAGCCCATTCATCTCAATGCGCAGAGTATTAAGCACTTCTTTTTTCTTTTTTTTTTTGCTGTTTTACTTGAGTCACGGCCAGCCTTTTGTTTATACTTTGCTTTTGAGACAGGGTGTCACTAACTGCTAGTGAGCCTCAAACTCAGTTCCTTATGTCTCCACCTTCCAAGTAGCTGGGATTACAGGTGTATACCACCCGGCAAAATAATTTAAAGTCAATCCTAATTTTTCCCTATGGAAAAACCATTTTATTTAAAAAGCATAGACAGGCAAGTCAGAACCTACTCCAAAAGCATTCTAGGATTCATTGATACAATCATATTAAGAGGAGGTAGACTCCATTTCAAGTCAGTACCTGAAATGCAGTTTCACAAAGTAAGAAAATTTTTCTTAACAGATTCTCTTTTAACTCTGCTATAGCTTCTTAAATCTCAGACAGGGGAAGATGACCAGTCTTACCAAATGTTTGTCCCTTTTGAGTACCAGGTCATTCTAGGTCTTCTTTATGTAACTTAGGAGTTCCTCTTTTTCCATTTGGTAGCCACTTTTTTTCCACTGTTCACGCAGTTGCTGTAACAAAGCACCAATTTCCTTCCCAGAAGAAATGCCCACTTTTCTAATGTCGTGTCCGCTCACGGGGAAGGGGGGGATGGACCACTGCTCCATCTCCTTCAGGAGACCACGTTCACCCTGGTACTTCAGCAGCTCACATACTCGGGCACTTGCATCTGGCTCTCTGGACTAAGTGCAAACAAACATTAAGTTCACCATACACATTACAGCCCCCATTAATGGTTTACCCGATATTTAAATGACAAATACTCTAGGAAAATTACCATTCCAAATAAGTAACACTTAATGAATAAATTCTGGATTTTATCTTCCAACTTTTCTGCAAGTGAAGACAACTTATTTTTGGACCAAACCTAGTGTATACTTACATCTATAATGAAGTCTTGATAGGGTTTCAATGGTTCTGAACTGTCTGATGCTTTAACTAAGTCTTTCCTATTTTTAACTATAAATAAGCCGAGGTTTTTCTCTTCTTTTGAAATCTTCAACCTCAAATCCAATTTTGTGACATCATCTTGTACTTTCAGCAGTGAGGCCAAGATGGTCATTGGCTTTGCTGAGCAACCTTCAACATTTTTACTGACTTGGTTAAATTCTTCTAAACTTGAGGGTGTAGGCAAACCTGCAGGAACAAAATTTTTTTTCTCTTTTTAGTGTTAAAAAAAGACCAGTCAAATCCTAAAGCACTTTATGAAAATCCCTTTCCCAATGACTCAAGACTAATGAAATGTCCTGAAGTTCCCTGATGTGTGATCATCCTTGGTCAGTATTAATCATAACATTTATTGATCCATAAGGCATCTTAAAAACTCAGTAGATAAGTGCTATTATTTCTATACTCCTTTTCTTCAGAAACTAACAAGTCACAAAGCTGGTAAGTGTCAGTTAACCTAACCTAATCAAAGCCAAGTCTTTTGAGTTACTCCTTACCTGTGATCCCAAAGATTATCTTGGAATTTGATTTCTCCATGTGGAATTTTGTAACTACATGAGTAAAAACATTTTTACCTTAAGGATTTTTAAACTAAATGTTTCATTGCCAAAAATGTTAATGTTTTGCTGGGCACCTATGGCTCACTCCTGAAATCCTAGCTACTCGGGAGGCTGAGATCTCAAGATCATGGCCAGCCCAGGCAGAAAAGTCCCTGTGAGACTCTTATGTCCAATTAGTCACTCAAAAACTGGAAGTGATGCTGTGGCTCAAGTGGCAGAGTGCTAGCCTTGAGCACAAGAGGCTTGGGGACTGCGCCGAGGCCGAGTTCATACCCCACAACCAACCAAAGAAAGTATTTTTTAAATGTTTTATAACTTGTTCTCACCTATATGAGGAGCCACATCAAGATCATAGATTAGGTGAATTAAGTGGTTTACGTGGTTACCAACAAGAATTTTTTTCAATTCTACCCAAATCCGCTCTCCTGATATTCCAGCCAAGCCTTTTGCATTTTCGGCAATTGCTTCCAAAGTCTCAGGGTCATGCTCACCAGGTTTGTCCACAATTCTGCCGTAAAACCTAGAAAACAAAATCCTCTAAATGCACCTATACTGGCAGAACAGCCAGAATTCTGTTTCTCATTTTTGCATCTATTTAATGGAAATGAATTAAAGCATTAGTCATATCTCCACCTTTTTCTTCAGATGTACAAACCCAAGATTAATTACAATGTAAGTAACCTCCAAGTCAGTAAGCACTAGAAGCCTGCGGACTCGATTTCACCAATAGTGACTAAGGTGCAGCTGTGCTGCAGCAGGTAAAACTCATAAGCCTCATGAAGGCAGATTTTTATTTTTCTCTCTCCCACAATCCCTCCTTCCCTCTTGTGTCAGATAGCGGTGCTTGGCATGCTCACAAATGAAAAGAAAGCATTATTTAATAGAAAGGAGAATGGACATTTAAAAGGTGCTCAAAAACGTGTTTTTTGTTTTTTTTTGGGGGGTGGGGGTTGGTCGGTCGTGGGGCCTGAACTCTGGGTCTGGGTGCTGTCCCTCAGCTCTTCAGCTCAAGGCTAGCACTCTACCACTTGAGCCACAGCGCCACGTCCAGCCTTTTCTGCTTTATGTGGTGCTGAGGAATTGAACCCAGTGCCTCATGCATGCAAGGCAAGCGCTCTACCACTGAGCCACCTTCTTAACCCCTCAAAACCTTTTTTTATAGCAAAAGATCATAGTAAATGTTGTATGAAAGTAACATGTACATAAGACATGGATTACCTCATCACCAGACACACATTTGGGATGTCACTATTCTGTAGACCTACCCGTTCGGTTACTGTACACAACACACAGTATTAAAAACTGTTTCTAAAATTTGCAAAAAATTCTTACCTGAAGTATCTTAAAATCCGAAGATAATCTTCTTGTATTCTTTGATGTGCATGTCCTACAAATCTAACTTTCTTATTTTTTAAATCTTCATAGCCATTAAAGTAATCGAATAAAGTACCATCAAAGCCTAGTCATTTAGAAGGAGGAAACAGAATCATTAACAATCTTAACAAAAAAAATAAATAAATAAACTAAAAACTACCACAAACAGGAGAAATTCAGCATGGCTGTTTATCACATATAGTGACAGTATACATCACTACTAATTCAGAGACAGAGTAAACAGCTGTCCTTACAATTGAAAGATTATACCTCCAATAAGAACCTAAAGCAATGTGCCAGATATGTATAGACTGAGGATGAGAGGAGAACACGCTCGTATAAAAAATATGAATAGCCAAAATTGTATGGGAAAATCAGGAGTGGCAGGGGAATCCACAGGGCAGTTACTTTGTCATCCTGCATCAAGAAAGACCTTTTAAACCTTTCAAACTAAATATCAGTAATAAATATCTATTATGCCTTCTTGAGTAAGGCATAAAAGTCTGGCCAAAAAAAAAAAATCTTAAGCTAAGAGATACTCAGAGAAAGACCCCAAAAGTCAGTATCAATAGAGACAAATGGCTAATTTCCATAGCATGCAAACATACAGAAGAAACACAGAAATCTGTAAAATGAGCGTTTTCAACAGCAGTAATAAGAAATAGGAAGTAAAACAGTATTAAGTAGAAATAGTATTTCCCGGGTTTCTTTCCCACTGGTAAATTTCCAAGTAGTGTCTGCTACTACCTGGTTCAGGATAGGTTAGGAGACTAAACCATGAGAGCCTATTATCCCTTCATAAAAATGCTGTACTGTAAACAAAACAATTCTCACTGGGATTTTCTTAGTTATCAAACTGCAAATCATATCTCATAGGTAAACTCTCAATCCCAAACAGACAACAGGTCTTCCCCAAGACAGAGAAAAGCAACAGGAGACCTGCCAAGGGGGCAGGTGGGTGACTGGCCCCAAGAGGCACTTCACTGGGTGGCATCAGGGACAGGGCACTGCTGTTACTACTTGTGAAGAACAATCACGTGTCCATTTAATTCTGTTTGAACCCTGAATACCTTCTGGCTATCCGCAAAGTACCACTCTGGGCAGACAGTGCTTTTTTAGTGCAGCACACAGGGATTTGCTAAATGGGAACTACCTTGATAAATACGGGAAATTACAGGCTCCAGATTCAAAAGTGCATAGGCAAAATAGGACTAAAAAAGGCAAATATCCTATGTCTATCTTACTGTTGTGGTAAAGAATGCGTGTTGAACATACTGGCAGCAGAAAGGCTTTTTTAGTAAGATCAACATAAGGGGGCCAGTGATGTGGCGCGGTGGTAGACCAAGCACGTACAGGACCCCAGCTCCAGGGTGGGGGGGGGAAAAGAGGAAAAGCATCCTAGGAATATAACAAAAACAACAATAACAACAACAAATGTCTACAGCAGAAAGGCTTAAAAAAATTCCTGAGCTGAAAATATAGATTAGTATGATACCAATATGAGTTTTGTTTTGCTCTGAATCTTTCTTTTAAAGTATACTAGTAAAAATGTGAAATGCAGCTAAGTGGCTTATGCTTAAGAGCATAAGCTTTGGAGACAGTTTGTGTTACAACTAATAACACTACAGTATACAGGCTGCATACCTTTGAGCAGGTTATCAGGAGTTAAGACAGCACCAACTGCTTCAGAAGGTTGCTGGGAAAACTAAACTATGTTATGAGTTTAAAATAGGGCTCAGCAAATGTTTAGAAACCAATAGTAAACCTACAAGGAAACCATTAGAGAAGGCTGCACCATGTGAGTAATGCTGGAAGAAGTGGATACTTGAAGCTTTGGTTGTGTAACGGAGGAGGTGTGTATTGCTGGGCTCCTTCCAGTCCCCCGTTTAATAGTAGAGTTTGGAAACCCAGGCTCTAACCTGGACCAAGTTACATGACATCTGCAAGTCTCACCTGTCCCACCTTAGCCTACTCTAACCTAATTCACCTCTAGCCCTTTGTGAGCACACCTTCATTAACAAAGAACTTAAGGACCTACATGACAAATAGGCTTCATCTTAACATACCAAGGCAGACTTGTGATTCCTTAAGATGCAATGCTAAGAAAGAACTTGAGGTGTGTGTAGGTGCAACAGTAATTTGCTTTTTGCTGAAGTCATTCGCCCCAATGCCAAGGCCCTGCAGGAAAGGATGGAGAAGGAGCATGTGTGTAAATGACAGGGCCCTATGAACACTGACAGGAGGAGTGTGTGCATGTGCACATATATACATTTTTCTTGCACTGTTTAGATGCAGTTAATAAATTAGCAGATGAAGGTGTGAATGTGTCAGGCACTGCTCCAAGCATATACAATCATTAGCTCCCTTAATCTTTACAACAGTCCTACAAAATAAACTAGCATTAACACCTGTGTGTTTTACAGCTAGCGAGTAATATAGTGAGAATCTCAGCCAGTATTTTTGGATCCTGTCAACATGATATGCTGTCTCTTAGAAGAGATGAATGCCACTTCAGTTGGAGGACATTCCCAGAATGCAAGTTTCACTTGAAAAGAAGGCATAGTCTGATAGATCACATTATCCTTGTATTACCTAGAAACATGGAGTTTATAGTGAGGTCTCTGCGTTCGGCATCTTTCTGCCAGTCAGTTGTGAATTCTACCTCAGCATGTCTTCCGTCGGTTGTGACATCGATCCTTAGTGTGGTAATTTCAAAATTTTCTTCATGAAGCTGCAATTGAATATAAGACTTTTTAAAAATTAGTTTATAGCATCACTAAAGACTGGAAAGCTTCACTGAGGCAAGGTAATACAGTTGTCTTTAAACTCAACCAGTATAAAAACATTGAAACAGAATATTCAAGGCCATATCCAAAGAATACCTTTTTGTAAAATAATTTGAGTTTACAGGCAAACATGGCTACTGAAAAGCAGCATGGTAGGTATAAAGGGCTACTCTCGAGCTAGTTTTTTTGCCAGTGTCAGTTTGCACAGAGCTATGTTAATATATGCCACAGAGCAAAGGCCTGTCAGGAATAAGTATAGGTAACAAACCTAGGGTCTTTACTGGTCATCCCCAGTGAGGTTAAGGTGATAGGTACACACACCGTGGGGAGAGAAACTGCCTCCAGCTGGGAAGGCTAAGGAACAGGAGCTGAGCCTTGAAAGCCGATGTGGATGTAGACAGAAGCACATTTCAAATAAAAGCGTGTCCAAAGACACAGTACAGAGGGAATTTATAAAAGGGGAAATCTCACTGACAAATAGCATTCTACCAGTAGTCAGCAATGAGGTTTTCTTGATAAAGAATTTGGAATTCACAGGCAAAAACTGGGATCATTTGAAGTCTTCTAGGATTCTCACGATTTCATACAAATTCTCCTCCAGATACACATTACATTCTCACTATAAAATTTATCTATGAAAGGAAAAGGGAAAAGAAACGGCTTGAACTAGGGCAACTATACACTGCAGGACTGCTCTCTAGTTATAGTGAAAACTCCTGCAGATTCCAACACTTCTAATTGGCTAGCACGTCCCAGGTAGAATTACAACGAAGCCCTGAAGTTGGGTGCTGCAGCACCCAACTATGATGACAGCCAAAGAACTTTAAGGAAATGAAGACTTTGTTGAAACAATTACCACTGAGAACCTAAGGAAAATAAGAGAAGTGACTACATCTGACACAAGCATAGAAGCTGCAAAATAAGTGGTCATGTGCCACACTGGACTGCATGTACCAGTGATCCTGGAACTGAGCAATTCTACCACAGCTCATTCATCATGGAACACACCATACTCCCCCGTGTCTGTACTGGTGTAAACAAACATGCAGCACTGCCAGGAGTTTAGACCTATGCACACACAGTTATGTGCAGTACATGATTTAATGATGTCAAACTGAATGCTTCCTCTAATAGGGATTTACTACACTGTACTTTTTCTGGAGTGTACTTCCTTTGCTGGAAACCAGCCTCAGCAGCTCCTAGAACACACTTTCACACACGATGTCAGCTCCGTGTGTCATTGCTCCTCCAGAATGCAGTGGGCCAAGTTCTGGAGTTAAGACAGTGACATCATGACCAGACCCTGTAGAGCCAAGGCGAGTGCTGTGCACTTACTTGTTAATCCAAAGAACAGGAAAACACTTTTAGAATAAAGAATTTTTTTGTGTACTGAACAGTATGTTAAATGAGTTAAAAAGTTTTAAACAGAAATAATACTCCACAGTGCACACCTATAAACAAAAGTGATAGAGATAGAGATGTAATGAAAAATCAGAGACACACTGGGAAAATGACCTACTGTGGAGATAGGGAAAGACTTATTTGCTGTTGGGAGGGAGTACAGTCAGAAAGCTACACAAGAAGTCAGTAGATTATATTTTAAAAATGCTAACTTAAAAAACAAAAACTATAGCATGGAAAGGGTCCTCCTGTAAAAACACAAAACCACTTGTGGAGGTCAAGTCGTTAAACTTAGCAGTGGCTACAACACACAAGAATGAAAGACTTAGGGTAGAGTAGAAGACACTGCTATTTTTAATTAGGCATTTTGTTTCCCAACTATAAAAAAACTCCTGAACTTTGGTAAGCAGATGTTCACGCAGTGCAGTAAGTATCAGCCTGTGACTCACCCTGGCTGTGATTGTTCCGTGCTTCTCTCCCTTGTTGTTGATCATCCGGATGCCGGCCGATTGAAACATCTCCTTCATTTGGGTTGGGGTGGCGGTGGTAGCAAAATCAACATCTTGAGGTTTCACCCCATTCAGCAAATCCCTCACGGCTCCTCCTGCTATTCTCAGCTCATGATTCTCTTTCACAAATAATTCTGAAATGACAGCGACAAGATTTTTAGTACAATGTGTTTCAGTAATGACAGCGTGTTACCGGAAGTACAAGGTTTGGCCATTTATTGGGACAGTTTAGACCATGTAAGAAGGCCTTGCTTTTCATGCAAAACAAGGCGGAAAACACAAAGTGGCTGTGCTGTAGATGCCTGAGAACCATGGGAAACAGAACCTGCATGACTGCTTTGCTGATTAAGACAACTCAAAATTCTACAGTGCCTCACAATCATGATTACAAATATGAATTATAGTCAAAGAGTAATGCAAAATAGAAAACCAAGTCTCCTCCTAGTTCTGTGAATAATATACAAGCATTTCCATGCATCCAGCTGTCAGGCCCCTTATCATAAATGTTGCCACCAAGATCCTTCAATAGACAGCCTGTGAGAATATTGCCTGAAATCAATGCACATGGAAAACTACTACAAACAACCACACAGGTGAGGACAAGGCTTCTACAACTCTGGCCAGTCTACTGAGAATGATGTCCACAGCTGGCTTCACACAAGCTGGTCTGCACTGTTACAAATTGGCATTCTGCAGAATGTGTTCCAAGCACATCAGTCAGGCAAGGACATCTTTGACCAATGATAACAAGATGACTGGCATTACGTTACCATCAAGTGCTATCACCCAGCAATGGTTATGGACCATAGCCACACAGCCAAGGAAACCCTGGCTAGTACCTGAACCATGTAATTCAGAAGTGAATGACCTTTAGAACTTTGGTCTTATCTCTAAGGAAATAACCTTAATCTGCCATGGAAATGATATAGTTCAAATGAAGCAGAGGGAAAAAAATGAAACAATCTGGCAAATCATGAACCGCTGCATTATATGATTGTGACAAACTATCCTAGCTTCCTCGATTTTCTCTGCTGAAAGTTAATCGTATATGGGGACAAAGCAACTATGATGATTTTAGAACTCATGACAGGATTTAAACTGCACCATGCCAATTTTCACAGAGGTTTTAAATATGTCTGTCTGCACTTTGTTTTCACATAGGACATTTCATTATGCCAGGGCACCCAATCCTACAAAGTAGTTAAGTTATTCGCTGAGTTTACTGATGGTGTTTGAAGTCACCTTCAGTACATATCCCTCCATAGTGTTGTTTCACAGACAGAATCCTGAAAACCACTTCCTGTTTTACGCTACTGAGGTTCTGACTTTAGAACTTCCAACTTTCACAGTGAAGAAAATAAAGCTCAGAAACTCAGGTTTTATAAATCATATAGTAGTACTAAAAGATGTTAAAGAAACTGCAGTATTTGATTTTTAAGGCAGAATGATCAGAGAGGGTATACTGCCAATAATATTTTCCGAGGAGACTCTTGCAACAGAGGACAAGACGGAGGAAGGCACAGCCATAAAGAAACAGTTCAGTCAGCCCCAAACTGGTGATGTTAGAGCTGGTCTCTTCAGACAGCGCCGCTCACCACTTGCAGTTACTGAGCACTTAGAACATACTTAAGTCTGAATTGAGACATGGTGTTAAATGTGTTCCAGGTTTGGAAGTCTTACAACAACATAAAAAGGGGGTCAGTCTGATACTGTATATCCATGTGTGAAATAAGCTGAAGCCCCTTTGAAGAGTTAGCAAACTCTAAAAACAAGAAAGACAGGAATGTAAAGCAGGTCCTACAACAAGATGCTAATGGGGAGAAGAGGGCAAATGGGGTGGGTGAAGGAGGGTGACTATGGTCAAAATACATGTAACGTGAAAATGGAACAGTGAAGCTTGCTGAGATCCCTTTGGGAAAAGGATCAGGGAGAGTTTGGGGGGGGGGGGTGATCAAGTACTATGAATACCTAGACACGTCAAAAAATAACCTTGTACAAACAAGGGATGCTAACAGTGGGGGGAAATGATGTAACATTGTTCTGTAAGTTTCACACTCGTGATCGTATCTTGATGACAGGGGACTGAATGTATGTTTTACTCAGTTCCTTCCAGTTATGTGTTCTGGAAACACTGGCAGAGACTTAGCGTTCCCAAGTACCTCTTCACACACTAGGAGGAGGCAGTGTATCAGGTAAGTACAGCGGATCCCATAATGCATCAGGAATCTAGTACTTAAACCATCGTACAGAAGAGCTAAAGGTCAACTTCTCCACTCGTTGCTTTACTCACAAGTCTTCCTTTTGTCACTTCAACAACAGCAATATTTGAAGGTTGGTTTAAAAAAAATCGTCCACCCTGTGTCTTTCCACCTAAGGCCTCTCCGCTTGTTCCAAAGCCAGGTCTCACCTGTCAGACTCTTCAATCCTTCTGTGAAAAGGGACTGGAATTCCGGAGACTGCAACTTCATGGTGAACAGACAGCGCTTCAGAAGACAGAGGCTGCTCCAGCCCGCGCCGGGTCCCCGCCTCTTCCAAGGACACAGGAGTCTCAGCATCTGGAGCAGTGGCCACACCTCTACCAGGCGGGCCGCGGGTGCACCGACCGAGCTCCACGCGCTGAGCACAGAATAACACGCAGTGTTACTCACCAACAGCGAGGAACTCGCCTCCCTGTCCAGAGGGGGCGCGGGTGGCAGGGCCGCCCCGGCAACAAGGGAAAAAAAGCCAAGCAGGAGCCGCAGGCCCGAGTTCCCGCGCCAGAAACACAGGGAGGAAGGGGGAGCAGGCCTCCAGGACACGAACTGGATCCCCCCCCGACCATCGAGGCACCCCGGATTCCCGACCCCCCCCACGGAGACCTGGCCGCGCACGGGGGGCTCTCAGGACCCCGCGATCTCAATGCGGGGCAGGCGCGGGGCAGCGGGAGGCCCCGTCCCGGCCACGTGGACCCGGGAGCTGACTCCGCCCCGACTCCCACCCGCTCAGAAACCCGCCCCGAACCCCAGCCCCGGGGTCAGCCCGCACGGTGCCCCGGGCCCCAGCCCCGGGGTCAGCCCGCACGGTGCCCCAGCATCCCGCACGGTGCCCCGGGCCCCAGCCCTGGGGTCAGCCCGCACGGTGCCCCGGGCCCCAGCCCCGGGGTCAGCCCGCACGGTGCCCCGGCACCCCGCACCCCAGCCCCGGGGTCAGCCCGCACGGTGCCCCAGCATCCCGCACGGTGCCCCGCATCCCAGCCCCGGGGTCAGCCCGCACGGGTGCCCCGGGCCCCAGCCCCGGGGTCAGCCCGCACCCCAGCCCCGGGGTCAGCCCGCACGGCGCCCCGGCACCCCGCACCCCAGCCCCGGGGTCAGCCCGCACGGCGCCCCGGCACCCCGCACCCCAGCCCCGGGGTCAGCCCGCACGGTGTCCCCCCCCCCAAACCCCTCGGGCCGAGCGCCCGGACGCGGCCGCCACGCCGCCGGGGGACCCCAGCCGCGCCCCGCGGCCTCTCGCCGCACCCCGCCTCCCGGATGCCCCCGGAACCCTCTGGGTCCGTGCGTGGGGCGCAGGGACGGAGACGCACGCCCCGCCGGCTCACTGGCGAGCGCTCACCCGAGGCCGCCCCGCCGCCACGCGCACTTCCGGGATAGAGCGTGGTGGCGTCATCACGCCGGGACGCTGGGCGGGGCCTGGGCGGGGCCTGGGCGGGTCTCCGCCCCGCCCCTCCCCGCCGAGGCTGGATTTGATGCCAGGGCGCCCGGGGACTTGGAACCTCGGCGGCTGAGCCCTGCAGGCCCGGGAATGGCTGCGTGTGCGCGCCGGGTGTAAGCGGGGCCGGCCCTGGGCGGGAGGCTTTGTTAGCTGCAAGAGCTGAGACTTAATGTTTTTCTAGGGCAGAGAGGATCCAGTGGCAAAGGCCTGGAGCCTTAACGTGAGAGAGTGGAGCCTTTTACATACAGCTTTCCTTGAAAAGCGCATGCGGCCTCCTGTTAGAGCCTCCTTTCCCCAGGGGTGTCGAGGCCTGTGAGAAGCACAGCTCCAGACAGACAGCTGTGGACGGCATCCAGCACCTTGAGGGAGCAAGAAAAGCCGGCCCCCTGAAGGCCCTTGCTGCCTCTCTCCACGACCACTCCATCACATGCTAACCGTTGGTGACACACAGGGTAGGGACGAACTGTATTTTTTTTTCTTTAAGTAGCAGCACGGTGAAGCACTGAATGAGCTTGAAAATCAATCTAAATAGCTCTTTGTTTAAAAAAAATGAATTTTGTTCAGTAACCCTTCATAATTTCAGGCCCAGATCGTTTCAGGGGTCAAATAGCACCTATTTTGCCAATTTTAAAAAATGGTTCAGCAAATCATGGTAAGTGAGGTTAAGCCAATCTCAGAGAGACAAACGGCACAAGTTATTCTATATGGAAGCTAGATCTAAAAATTAACCGGGACATGATCAAGTATACATTTCTCTAGGCATTCACACACAAGGGAGACCAAAGATACTCTTAGGCAAAGAACACAAAGGCACAATGCCCATGTGCATCTGAACATACAAAATGATGCGTGCGGAAATGAACTCATAGAAATGGAAACAAGCGATTTTTCTTCGTTGTTGATTTTCTTTTCTTTTTGTCTGTTCATTTATCTGTTTGGGATAGGGTAAAGGGGGGAGGCACAGAAAAGTTGGATCAAAGAGTGAACAAATGCAGCGGGGCACTTGCTCCACATTATGTTGAAAATCAATTACATAACTTGTGGGTGGGGTCAGGAGGGAAAAACTGGGGGTAACACTGTCCAATGTATGCAACTGTAACCACTCTGTACATCCCATTTATCATAACAATAAATGAATAAAATAGTTGAAAAATGTTCAGGAAAAAAAAAAGCACTTTCCTCTCATCCTGAAGCCAGGATAATTCTAAAAGTCAATATAAAATATTACAAACTAACATCCCATTCCAGCTGAGAAACAAATAGAAAACTGAATCCTGCAATGTATAGAACGACTCATTATCTATTTGAGTTGGCCCCAATGCTAAGAATGTGAGGTCGATTTAATGTTCATAAGCCAGTCCATACAAGACTCTGTATTGTTATCTACTTTGGGCCCCTGGGTCTGGAAGCCAGAAGGCTTGTGGATTTCTGCAGAGAATGAAGTGAAGGACAAAGAGGAATACAAAGACATTAGCAGGAGGAGACTGACTAATGCCACACAAAGGAAAAGCTAAGTGAACCTTTCAGACAGGAAGTCCACATATTTAGGAAGAAGCATCTGTGCTAAGGGTCCCAAGGAGGGGGGGGTGTCTGGACATGCAGGTGCTCATTCCTGGAAAACTAGATTATGTGTCTTTGACTCCTGGAGACTGGTTCATGTCTCATTAACTACTTTACATCTGGCAGGGGAGTTCTGAGCCTTGAATGGTCAGACTAGTACTGTCATTTTCTGCAGATTCTAAGGCTTGCAAGTCAAAAACAATCCATTAACATCAGCAGGCCAAGAGTTGATGTTTATCACCCTCCAAGCCGTGGATCTTAACCACTGAGTTTCCTAACCTCCTCCCCCAACTCTGATATCAGTTTTAATTGGCCAGGCATGGTGGTACACATCTGGGATCCCAGCATTTAGGAGGGGAGGCAGGAGTATCATAAGCCAGCCTGGTTTATATAGCAAGACCTTGTCTCAAAATAGAAAGGAGGAGGAGGAGGGGGAGGGGAAGGAGGAGGGGAAGGTTGGGGAGAAGAAGAGGGAGAGGAGGGAGGAGGGAAAAGGGAGGAGGATACAGAGGAGAAAGGAAGAGAAGGGGGAAAAAGAAGAGAAAAACTATATCTTAATAGATACACAACAATCACTTAAAACTCAGAATGCATAAAAACAACTTCTAAAACTCAGGAGGGCTGTCCACAACACTTGTTAAGGCATCTATGAAAAAGCCACAGCTATCAGCAGACTTAATGACAACATTGTTGCCACCCTCCCCCCAATATTAGGAACAAATTGATGATGCTCCGTCACCTCACTTTCAACATGTGACTGCAGTACGTCACCACGAAGATAAATCAAGAAGGAAGACGTTAAAAAGTGTAGCCATAGGGAAGGAGGTAAAACCCTCTCTTCCTATGATGGCATGGTTTATAAAGAAATCATAGCAAACAGCAGAACAAATGCCACCACTAATAAGTCAATTTAACAAGGCCTCGAGATGCAAGGCTACAGTGAAGAATCTTATATCCTAGCAGCAAAAAAAATATGCAATGCAAATCTATGTGTTTTATGTATTAAAAATAAAATCTGTAGGAATAAATGTGATAGTGAAGCTATGGGCGTGGCATCGAAGTATAATACAAATGGAAAGATATTCAAGATCACCCAGTGGCCAGAGAATTACTAATTAAAAACACACACACACAATGAGACAACCATGCAAACCTATTTGAATGTTTTAAAAAAATCTGGCAGTATTAAAATCAGAGGAGCATATGGAGCAGTAGATGTCTCATTCACTTGCTGTCGGTGAGGATGCAAACTAGTGCGGCAGGGCTGGGAAGGTGGCTCAGTGGTAGCGCTTGCCTTGCATGCATGAGGCCCTGGGTTCGATTCCTCAGCACCACATAAGCAAAAAGAAAAAGTCTGGAAGTGGCACTGTGGCTCAAGTGGTAGAGCGCTAGCCTTGAGCTGAAGAGCTGAGGGACAGTGTCCAGGCCCAGAGTTCAGGCCCCACAACAGGACAAAAAAAAACCAAACAAACAAACAAAAAAACAGTAGTAAACTAGTGCAGCCATGGAGAATGACAGTTTAGTGATTTCCCGTGCACTTGCCTTACAACCAAGCCACCCCTCTGCAAAGCATTGGCCCACAGAAAGGAAAACTCTGCTCACAGTAAAACATGTATTTGAGTGTCATAGGAGCTTGGCTCATAATCATCTCGATCAAAACATAGGAATTCCAGAACAAGCATTTCCTTGGGGTTTGTGCTTTATTTTGCATCTTATTGTATTTGTAGTTTTCATGGGCAGTGAGTGTTTTTAGGGTCTGGCAAGTTTGTACCACTCTGTAGAAAAACAATAGTCAGGAATATTCTTCTTCCGTTAGGAGGCAGTGGAACCCTAATGTTAAGGCAATTCAGGAAAATGAACTAGGAAGAGTTTAGAAATAAGTTTCAGTGTTTAAGTCATTAAGTCTTAACTTTGTGAGCCTTAACCGAATGCACTTCAGTACTTGATAAACATTTCCTTAAAGAGCTCCTATTTTACTTCGACATAAGCTATCTCTTAGGCTGCTCAAAGGGTCTCCCCAATGTTCAAATGTCCGTTGGCACCTCATTTTTGTTTGTGTTTCTGAGAAATTAATTCATTTGTTGCCACTAGAGAGAGAAATAATGATGCATAAGGAACAGTTTTGACTTTAACTTTGCTTTATCCCTTTCAGTCTACTCATTCGCTCACTCATCCATGAATCTAGCAACCTACAGGACCATCCATCCATCCACCTTCTATCCATCTCTCTACCTGTCCATTCCTTTGTCCACCTCCCACCCATCCATCATTCATCCATTTTTCCACCTATCCATCCATCCACGCTCCCAACTGTCCATTCACCTATTTATCCATTGACCCACCCATCCACCCACACCACTATCCACCTAGCTACCCACCTAGCTATTCATCTACTCCTGTCTATCCACCCATCCACCCATCCATCCATTCATACCTCCATTCATCCATCCACACATTTTTCATTCCAGGATAACTCCAGCACCAGCCACTATACACTTTTGCTAGCTTTTTCTAGAAATACCTGCATGTTAGATCTAGATATGCCCAGTT